ACACCCCTGGTGCTCACTGCGCTCTCTTGTTCGCAGCATCAAAGAAATGCTGATGACGCAGGGTGAGAGGTTTTCCCAGGAAGAGGTATGAGCTCCTTCCCACCCTCTGCCAGCCTCCCTTGCCCTCCATCCCGACAGACCCCCAGACGTCCTCCCAGCCCCAGCCACAAACCCCTTCTGTGCAGCCTTTTCACCCTGGCTTTTTCCCAGCAGATTGATCAGATGTTCGCAGCCTTCCCTCCAGACATGTCGGGCAACCTGGATTACAAAAACCTTGTCCATGTCATTACGCATGGCGAAGAGAAGGACTAGCCCACACTCGGCACTGGGGCTGGCACCGCCAGATCGCCTCTCTCTAGGTCACACAGGGGAGTCCCTTTGCCTCTCCCCCTGGGGAACATGTGAATGGCATCCACATTAAACTGCCTTTTGGCAAGAGGAAATCCAGCCGCTGGCATGAGTGGTGCTTGGGATTGCGTGGTGTGTCTGCGTGGTACATCTGTGCCCAGCGGGAGCCCCTGGCCCCATCTCAAACCCTGCTGCCCCCAGACTCCCGGCCCCACTGCACATCACCGTGGTGTGCCCTCGAGTCCCTCTGCCCCACCATTTCCCAGCCTGGCCCAGCTCCCAGCCCCAAACAGCCCATTTCGCATTGGGCTGTGGCTAGCAGCCATCTAGTCCCACCAGCCCAGGACCAGCACTGAGCTCGGCTTTACTTTAGGCAGCAAAGAGCTGCCTGCTTCTTCCAGCTTAGCAGGGAACACCCAGCAAGCACACTCATCCCCCCTACACCTCCCCATGCCCTCCCTGTGCCTCTTGGGCAGGCATGGTGCAGGACTGGGACCGTGGTCCCCATCTCCTCCCTAGCAGCCACACGATGCCTGGCTGCGGGAAGCGCGTTGGGTTGTGCAGCGGGGACGGCACCCCACCAGAGAGCAGCTGTTCCCGCCCCCGGCCGCGGCTGCTGTCAGCAGTGGGCAAAGCCATGCCGAAATATCACCCGGTGAGCTTTTGAAGCCTGCAGAATGCGTTGGGCTCCTTCCAGAGGGGAAAGGAGCTGGAATGACAACCAGGGCGAAAAAGCAGAGGGGGAACTCAAGAGTGAAACTGTTTATTTAACTTGTTCCTGCCAGGCTCTCACACCTTGACACCATTCCTCCCCTTCTTGCCCGTGCCGGAGGTGTTGCCCCGCTCCTTCTCCCGGCTCTGGAGAATCAGCTGGCACAGCTGGCCGTGGTCCAGTGGCACCTCCACTGCCCAAGAAAATGGCCGCCCTGTCATGCATGCCATCACAGGCCTTATATACCCGGTGGGGCTGGACAGGCTGGTTAGGATTGGCTGGGGAGGACAGGTGACAGCGGGGGATTGGCCAGGCGGCCATGGGGGAATTGTGGATTGGCTGGCTGCGTGGCCATAGTCCCTCCCTCCCACCTCACACACTCACAGGCGTCAATGGCGTTGGTGGTGCCGTCCGGGGCAGGGGGCGGCGGGCAGAGCTGTGCCCGATCCATCACCCGGAGGAGCCCGGTGCCACCCAGCAGCGGGTTGGTGAAGGGCTGGGCTGGATGCGAGCCATCATCCAATGTGTAGCGCAGGATGGACTCCATCAGCAGGAGCTCGTTGGTCTTCTTCTCCACGAGACCTGGGTGGGAGGGAGCACCGTCCCGCAGGGCCCCTCCACCGGGCCCCTGCCCAAATCCACCCCCGGCTGTTTGCTGAGCAAGGGATCCATTGATTTCCTCAAGACAGTGACGTCGGGCAGCCTATCTCCCCAGGGGCAGGGGCCCAAGACTGGATCCAAGGCAACCCGAGCCAGGATGAGGGCTTGGGGGTCCACTAGGATATTTATGCAGCCAGGTTAGCTCCTGAGTTTGCTGGGAATTTGGCGCCCCAAATTCACATTAGGGACACCCATGCATGATGGGGCAGGGGAAAAAAAAGCAGCTCAATTAAAACACAGTGCAAGCAGGCGGTAGACATACAAGGTCCGGGCCATGTGGCGGGGAAAGACGGGCAGCCCTGACCTACCTAAACACTGCATCAGGTTCAGATCCGTGATCTGCCCTTTTTCTCCAAGCTGCTTCATTATCTTCACAGCGTCACAGCTGATTTCTTTGAACAGGGCCTCCATGCCAGATTTGAGCTGGCCCAGGACTTTGCTGCTCTCTTTGCATCTGTCTTCGTACCGGTTGGCTTCCTCAGTGGTTTCTGTTAGTTTTTCCTATCAGCAAAGGTTTTGCTAGGTGTCACACCAGTCCCCTGCTCTCCCCCCACCCCAGTGCTGGCCAGTTCCAGTCTGCACCCTAGAGACATCCCAGGAGAGGCTGTGGGATGCTCCCATCCCTGCAGGGTAAAGGCTCTATGAAGGGGATCCCAAGCTCCCTATGCCGCAGACGAGGCCCCAGGCACTGGGAGACAGAGCTGCCAAAGCCGATGCAGGGCCCTTTTCTGCCGGCGCCTCTCCAGCCATTGGCCAGAGCAGCACTGACAGGACCAGACCGCCTAGGACACGTGCCAGGACGGTCAGGGGTCTGCTGCCCTTGCAGAGGGAAATCCGGGCTGCCATACCTCCAGCTCCTGCAGGACATGAAGGCTGCTGCTCTCTGCGTATTCCTGGTCCGTCATGAGGGCCGTAATTTCATTCTGTGTAAACACAAGCACATGGTGGGGGTACCGGCTAAATGTCCACCAGAGGTGCCTAACGGAGGCTGGGGACCATCCCTCCACCCTGGGAGCGGGGACACCCCACTTGACCCCTCTGGGGACCACTGTCCCCAGGCCAGGAGGGCAGGCAATGACCCCACAACAGGCAGCACTTTTCACTATAGCCAGCTCCACACATGGCCAAGGCAGCTGTTAGCCCTCCTGGATACTGCAATATTTTTGCTGGGTACACGGTGGCAGCATTGAGACACTTTTAGCTCTGAGAACGCAGCATTCTGTCTATTGGAGTTATATTTTTGGCTACCCCTTAGCATTCCGCTAATCCCACCCGTGCGGCAGGCTGTGAGCTGGGCTCTGGTGTGGGCAGTGATGCTGGACACATGGGAGAGGGAAAAGCCCACCCCAGCCCAAAAGCACCAGCTGAGAAAGGGGAGACATGAAGAGCCTGGAACAGACCTGGAGGTCCTTGATCCTCCGCTGCATCTTCTCCATCTCATTGTTCAGCTCGGTGGCGTAGCAGAAGCAGGCAAAGTTCTTCTCCTCCTTTTCGATGAAGCTGTTCACCAGCTGGTTGATGTCCCCATCCTCCGCCAGCTCCAGCAGGTACCTGTAAGCCACCTCCCGGCTCTCGAAGCTCTCCCCTTGGCTCCGCTTGGCCCGCTGGGCTGCCTTCAAGGCTGAGGGAGAGACAGAGAGCCTGGGCTGTGCGTGTCCCCACGGGCCGCCCTTTGCAGAGCCTTCCCCCATGGGTGCTGTGGGGTTTGGTGGGGTGCTCGGGGCAGGGGGGGCAGAAGGTGTCTTTATTTCACTCAGAAATTAAGCAAGGAGCTCACAGTCTGCATAGCAATGGGGCAAACACAGTGGGATCCCTCCCCGGCATGATAAAAGGAGCCATGGTTGCACAAGGAGGCAGCTCCCTTCCTCCCCATCCATCCCTCTCCCCCAAGGGCACCCCAAGACACATGGTTTTGGGTGGCCTCACTTGGTTATCACTGTTCATCCTTTTCTTCTGTAAGGCAAAGGGTGGGTGAAGGAGCCTGCAGGCAGGGGAGAGGTCCTGCCTTTGGGGTGCAATGCTATAAGCAGACCCCTTGCCGACTCTGCAAACTCCTGGTTTGCAGTCCTAGTTGCACATGGTTTCTCTCATCTGATACCTTTTTTTTTTTTGGCCTGTTCCTCCAACTCAGAGCGATCTGTAAATTTGGCGAGCGTGAAGGTTTTCAGTTTGGTCTCCTGGTCAAGGACACGCTCCTGTTCCTGCAGCTCAACATTGTACTGGACAGTGTCTTTGCTGTGCCTTTCGTTCATGGCTGAAATCCTTGCCAGAGCCTCCATCCTGCACACAGAGAGCAGCAGGTTACACCATACGTAGGTATAAGGATTTGTATTCCTGGCCATTCCCATGCATCTCTGTGCCTGACCTAGCAAAGCCCCCATGATGCTGTGCATGTTGCCCAGCTGTGTTAGCCCAAGGCCAGCAGCAAGCTAACATAGCTCTTGGTGGGCTTTTGTACTCGGACACAGCACCCAACTGTGGCAGCCAGGCTCACTTTGACCGGAGCTAGCTGGCCTCTGCTCCAGGTCTGCTGCATCCCCCTGTGCATGCTCAGGTGGGACTCAGAGGAAAGAAAGAGACTGCTCCATGGGGCAGTTCACCCCATCCCAAGAAATGTCTGGGATGGGTGGAGTAAATCACCCTGGAGGTACCAGTCTCCCTGCACTGACCAGGCACCTAACCCTTAGCACCCAGCTCCAGATTGGAGCGGTGAATCCTCTCTCTGAAGTTGCAATTGGTTTCTCTTTACATCAATCCTCATCACTAGCATTGCCCGTTGGTGCCGAGTTTGGCACAGAGGGTTCGCAAGGCCATGTACCGCTGCTCGTAGGCTTGTGCAGATTGCTCAATGGCAGTGTTCATCCTTCTCCTCTGCTGATCCAGCTTCTTATGGAGCTTTGAGTAGAAGTTGTCCAAAACGGCTTTCTGGATTCGCAAGTTTTCAATCTCTTCTCGGAGCTTGTTATTTCTGGTCAGGATGGTATTGAAATGGACAGTAACCTGGGGAGAGGGAAGCAAAAGGTTTTAAGGTGGTGTGGAACCTGGGGGCTCAGGTCTCTGCTGAAAGACCTTGACCAGGGCTGGGACAAACACAGCCCAAGAGATTTTAAGTTTGCCCTGCACTATCCTCCTCCCCAAGACAAGGGAGGCAACAGTAGGCCAGGCTGATCACGGCAGAGACCTGGAGCTGGCATTGTCCAAGGCAAGGTGGCTTCAGGCAACTCGGTTTTATCACTAAACAGGTGCAGACCTTCAGGCTTCTTGGCATGGCACAAGTGCTGCATTTGGGTCACCAAGCTTGAAGGAGCCTTTGAGATATTCTGGGAGCAATCAGGCCAGGGGAACAAGCCAGGTCCTTTATGCAGCTTGTGTCGACCAAATGCATTTGCACCATTACCCTTTGTCCCGACCAAAAAGCGTTTTGTGCACAGGCCCCAGTGTGGCCCCGCACATGGTCTCCAAAGGTCTGCAAAATGTTTGCTTACATTGTTTAGACGCATCTCCAGTGTCTCAATCTGCTTTTGCAGCCGTTTGCTACTGTTCGCTTGCTTCACCTTCACTGCTGTCTGGTTTTGCTTCACAATCTTTTTTT